CTGCAGGGGAGGGCCGTTGGGGGCAACCAGGCCTGCAGGGGAGGGCCGTTGGAGGGGACCGGGCCTGTAGGGGAGGGCCGTTGGGGGCAACCAGGCCTGCAGGGGAGGGCCATTGGAGGGGACCGGGCCTGCAGGGGAGGGCCATTGGGAGTGACCAGGCCTGCAGGGGAGGGTTATTGGGGGGGACTGGGCCTGCAGGAGAAGACTGTTGGGGGTGATCGGGCTGGCAAGGAGGACTGTTGGGGGCAACCGGGCCAGCAGGGGAGGGCAGTTGGGGGCAATCAGGCTGACAGGGGAACAGTTAGGAGTCAATCAAGCTGGCAAGGGAGTGGTTAGGGGGTTATCAGGCTGGCAGGCAGAAGTGGTTAGGGACAATCAGGCAGGCAGGCAGGCATGCGAGCAGTTGGGAGCCAACAGTCCTGGATTGTGAGAGGGATATCTGACTACCTGTTTAGGCCCGATCCCTGTGGGCCTGGTCGCCCCCAACTGCCCTCCCCTGCAGGCTCCGTCCCCTGCAGTTCATGTATCCTGTGGGATCGGCCTAAACAAGCAGTAGGACATCCCTCGAGGGGTCCCAGATTGGAGAGGGTGCAGGCTGGGCTGAGGGACAGCACCGCCCCCCCCCCCTCCACACAAATTTCGTGCACTGGGCCTCTAGTTAATATATAATTATTTATTGTATTTTATATAAATATAAGAAAAGACTCTCTTCTCAGCCCCTATCCTAGTTGTTCTCTTCCAGAAAAAACCGTTGTGTCCATTTTTTGTGGAAGTCTCAAGAAATCACATGCACATGTGTTGTCTTATTTAATTCTCACTTTCTTTCTTTCATGTTCAGTGTACACACATATAGTACACACATGTATGTATTCGTTTATTCATGGTTGGGGTGAGAGAGCTGGTGTATGTACCGTTGATGTACTCAGCACTGAGAGGCACATTTTGTCAGCTCCACTTATGGATTAGAAAGCTGAGGACCAGCGATGTGAAATAACTTCCCCAGGGCCTTACAGTTAGTGACATAGCCACTCCAAGTGCTCACTTGCTTTTTTAGACACTCTAGTTGTTTCACTATGAAAGACACTCCTTATTAGAATACTAAAGAGAACTTTCAAAATTAATGTTAAGTCCCAAAGAAAATAAAGGAGGACTGGAGCGGTGAGTGAGATCTATGAATGATTCCTAAAATTATATCCCTGAGCTTAAATCCCAGCCAGTAGATGCAGGAAGTGACCAGATATGGGTCACCCAGTGCCTGGCTGCCCAGTGGGACTGTAGGAAGACCAAACTCCCTAAACCAGGGGAAGTGGTCTGGTTTCAGAAAATACTTGAGCTGATGGGAATGGAGCAGAAGTTAATTCCCACCAACCCTGAGGCTTGCCTACATTTACACGGACATAGATCCTGAGAGAAGCCCCTTGCAGATGTGGCATTGGCTGACTCTTTTTATTCATATCAGCATCATGGGAAACTTGGATCATCTGCTCTTGAGTGCTCAGAAATCCTCCTAGAAAGCAGGGAGGAACAAGGAGCATGGGTGTATGTGCTCTGTTCTCTTTTAACAGAAGGGGTGTGTTTCATAAGTTACCTCAGTCAAAGGAGAAAGAATAGCTACTGCTTACTGGATATATATATCTGATAGGTCAAGTGGGGTGCTAAGTGCCCTTCACTGACATTTCATCTTCATTACAACTCTGTGAGATGCAGAAAGTTGAAGCCCATTTCATAGACAATGGCTTTGGCCATCAGAATGTTAGGGCACTTCGTAGGGGGCATAGAACTGAAATAATGGAGGTGGCATCAAGACACCTGACTCCAAAGCCCACTCTTTTGCCAATTCTGTGCCCTGGGCTTAGAAACAAAACAGACAAAGCAGGCAACTATTACCATGGTGGACAAAATTAAGTTGATTAACCACTTTATCTTTTGTGGATATTTCTAATCTTAGAACTAATTATCTCTTGTTTAATTAGTGTCTTCTAGTTACTCAGTGAAAACATGTAATAAGCCTAACTTCTTAGGATGAAGGTTGTGTTTTTTTTTTTAATTATGAAATCTGAATTTATATTGGAATGTAAACAACCAATCATTTACCTGGTGGCAGAGGCTTACTGAGTCTATGTTTTTTCAAACTATGAGTCATGGTTCATTAGTGGGTTATGAAATCGATTTGGTGGATCATGATCAGCATTTTAAAGAATAGAATAGATTAAGATAGAATAGAATAGAATAGAATAGAATAGAATAGAATAGAATAGAATAGAATAGAATAGAATAGAATAGAATAAGGGTGACCCAAAAAATGCATACACACTTTAACAGCTGATAGATAACTTAATTGATGTTCCTTCCTTTTCAGTTTTAACCCATTGGAATTAATAAATTATTCAAAGTGTGTATATATTTTTATGGAACACCCAGTAGAATGAAAAGAATGAAATGAAATAGAATAGAATAGAATAGAATAGAATAGAATAGAATAGAATAGAATAGAATAGAATAGAATAGAATAGAAAAATACCAGTGCATTGGACATAACAAGAGTATCTTTTGTGTAATTTTCATTTCAGTGACATATATTTATGTATGCATTAATTCAAAATGTATTTACTGTAGGTCACAGTTCTTAAAAAGTTAGCTTTGGAAAGAGAAATGTGAACAGATGTATAATTAATTAAATTGCATATTGTTCTTTTCTGTGGATAGCTTGTCCCGTAGTTCCTAACAGCACCCTTAGCCCATTGGCCTAGGTGTATTTCAAGTATAGCTTTCTGGACATATCTATATGTTAGTCTTTCCCTAGATCCTTAAATGGATGGATGTGCCTATTAGATTCAAAACATGTTTTGGATACTTAGGGAGAGCAAAGTGACATTTTCAAAAGCTGAGGTAGTAGCAGAGGTGGGACAAGATTTAGATTATTTATGGATTCTTTCCAGACTGGAAAAAAGCTGGGTGAGCAATGGCTCTCATGCTGAGGTCAGTGAACATCTGTTCGTTCATAGATGTAGCTAGAGAACAGGCGAAACAGGCTGTGATTGCAGCAGAAGGGATTGGGCTAGACCTGGGGAAGGATTTCCCTGTGGTAAGGAGTGGGTGTGTGTGTGTGTAACACTCCTTGGAGGTCTTGAGAAGAAAAAGTAGGATCAATTCCCTTCTGCCATGGAATCCTTTGGAGCAGGGCGGGGGGGGGGGCGGGGGGGTGCGAGGCAGGCAGCAGGACAGTGGGGAACCTGAGATTTTCCCATCCCAAGATATCCTTATTCCTTTAGCCACGCTCTCACTCACTCTCTCCCATTAGCAAGCATAATTGGAGCTGGCCATGTTTCTGTCCTCAGCCACGGATGGATGTGATGAATGCCGTGGTATTTTGCTGGGCTGCAGTTAGTTTTGCTTTTCATCCAAATGTCAAACCAAGCCTGCAACAGCTGTGATCAGCTGTTAGAAGAAGGGGAGTTGAGTGGGGAGGGGGGCAGCTCCTGGCCTCTTGCCCAGCCCTAGCTGATTGCTTAGTGTCCACCTCTCAGTTTGTCTTTTCTGTTGCTGACTCCATCGCTAGGGTTTTTTCCTATCTTCTTGTTTGCATCTCTTTTCAGGTTTTTTTTTCTCTCTTCTTCCCTCATCTCTTCTTGGGCAATTAGAAGTCACCATGCTTTGACATGAATCTTTTAAAACAGCTGGTGCTTTCAGGTTAGGGGGAGCTCCAGAGAGCACCCCCTTCTGAACCTCCCACCCCCCAAATCACTACTGACAGTAAGCTGCTGTATGAGACAGGAGAAAAGACTGAATTCAGCCAGACTTGGGTTCTTGCCTTACCTTAGCCTCTTGTTGTCAATGAGACTTTGGCCAACTACTTAAATGTCTCTAAGCCTCAGTTTCTTCCTAGGTTACATGGGGATATCAATGCCTGCCTGAGGATGCTGTTGTAAAGATTAAATAAGAAAACTTCCAGAAAAGTTCCTTGCTCAGGGATTGACACACACTGCCTCTTTCCCTTCCTTTCTGCTCCTCAGATAGAGTCCCCACTCAATGGTCATACATCCCACATTGTGGCCTGATGCCACCCCACCCCTTCCTCCAGCCCTGGGCTTGCTTTGATTTTATTGAGCATCAAAGCTTTGCTGAAGTCTATGGAGGAAACAGTTTCATGAAGGATCATAATTCTTCTGGTACTAACTTTTGTCATTTTTCCAGGTTTAGAAAAAAGTGAGTCTGAGAAAATGAGCCCTTTCAAACATGAGTCATTCCAGAATGGGAGTAGGGGGGAGACAACGGTGAGGAAAAGCCCCTCCAAGGGTCTGAGGTCTAAGGAAGAGGCATGAGTTCATGTGAGGCCACTAACATTTTTTTTCTTAAGCCATATAAACAACTTACAAAGATGGCCAGTAAAAAAGGATGACGCTGACCAACCGTGACTATTATCGTCAGCCCTCCTTCCCCAAATTCATTGTCTTCAGCTTGGTCACTTCCCTTTGGGTATAAGAATGTGGTCATCAAGTGAGGCTGGCCCCTCTCAAGACCATAGTCCCAAGGCAAACACTTGGGCATGAAGCTGGAATTGTCTGCTGGCACCTATATCTTCACTGAGCCCACAGACTGCAAAAACGGTATGAGGATGGGGTGGGGGGGCAGTCTTCCTTCCCCTCCAAAGGCCATAAGCTAATGGGACCCAAGGTGGATTCTCTGTCTTAGGGTCCTCTCATGATCCCTGGGCTCCTCCGGAAGTAGCATCCAGACACCAGAGAAAGCTTTTGGGGATGTTAGAGAGAGAGTAGGAAAAAGACATTTCTAGTCTGACATTGGTTTTTTTGAGACTTTGGTCTTTTTATCCCACAGACACTTGTTGGTTGGACCATGGATTCCTTCTCTTTCCTCCCTTTCCCCCAGTCGGAGAGCTAAGGGCTTGCCTGCTGCTTTGACCCCCAAGGGCCCCCCTAGAGCTACAGTACCCCCTTTCTTCCATTTCTTCTCAATCTGAACACACATTTCTCTCCTGGCAGGTTTAAGGATTACCGAGAGCCGCCGTGGGCCCCAAACCCATATGAGTATTCCAAACAGTACTGGTCTGTTCTGTCTGCCCGTCTGGCTTTTGTCATAATCTTCCAGGTGAGTTATTCCAGTAAGGAGTTGTCAATTAGGACTTAAGCTGCAAGAGTTAAGACAACCATGTCTCCTTGCCAGCCCCTCATCTCCAGGTTTCCATGGCACAGGTGACATAGGGGCCTTCACAGGTGGCAGGCAATGAGCGCTCCCTTCCCCCGGCATCCACGAATCGATGGATTTGCAGAAAGAGACTAAAACACAGAATAAGATTACAAGGCAGATGTGGAGTAAGTTGCAGGGTGGAGATAGATTCCCATTTCAACCTAAGACAACAAAGGGAAATGGGAAGAGCAGTGGAAACCAGAGTCTCAGCTCTAATGCAGACAAACAGCCCCATCTGAACCTTTCTCCTAGCCCTCTCAGCTGGCTCCCTCCTTTGTTCCTGTTGTTTTAGCCCCTGAGACATCTGGTGGAAAGGGCTGCCAGAGCCATCCCGCCATTCCTGAATGAATAGCAAACTTGAGCCCAGTGATTCCTATCTCTGACAATAGCAGCAGCTCCAATTGTACCACCAAGATTCTCTGAGCATGAGGCCCCCCTTTCCGATTCTCTTCTCGGGTCCTGTGGGTCTTCAAGCAAAACTGGAGCCCTGACCCAGATCCTTTTCTCATCCACTCCTTCAGGCTTTTGTAATCTCTGAAGGTGGATTTCTGGAAGGTTCTAAAATATCCTGCCCCTGACCCAAGCCCAGGAAGTGAAGGAGCCCACCGGCTAGTCTTTCACCTAAAGAGGACAGCCAATATTCCTCTGGGGAGATGGGGCGATATATTTGAAAAATCACTCAGACATCTCCTGCTGCCCCACCTGTGGGAGTCAACTCACTTTACCATATGTCACATGTAGCATTGACTCACCCTGTGAGGAGTTCATTTAAAGGAGGAGTGTATAACTCAGAGCAGCTCTAGATGACCTAAGGCAGCCAGGAGCCTCTGGAAATAGAAGATGGTTCCCAGAGTCTTCCTCTGGGCTCCTAGGAGCACAAAGGGTTCAAGGTCAAGTTGGGAATAGGCTGAAAGCATGGAAGACAGCCATGCTCTGTTATCTCATTCTGGGCTTAGTCACTGTCCTCTGTACCTCAGAGAGGAGAAGACACATGAGCATATAATTGTCAGGCACAGAACACAACAATCGGAGGAGTGTATTGGGTAGGGTGTAGTTGTCGGTGGCTTAGGAGGTGGATGGGAACCAGATTATCAAAGCAGCAAACATTTATTGGCCATGATGGCACTGTTATAACATATTCACCCACTTGAATAGAAAATACTCCTAGGGAAGCGCAGTCTTATCCTACCTGTGTTTACAATGGAGGGGGAGTAGCTTAGCAGACAGAGGAGGAAGCCAATTACAAGTGTGCACAAAAAAAGGCAGAGAGTCCCCAACAGGCCATGTAACTAGAGTGGCTGGCATGGCATGGAGAGCAGGATGTGATAAATGTGAGTAGTGGGTGAGGTCTGCTGAGGCCATAGTTCAGTGCAAAAACCAAAGATATATCTCTGATATGGAAGACAGAGGGTCAGGTGCAAGAAAGAGAGAAGCAACTGGCCCAGGGAAAGCCTGGAGAGGCCATTGGGCCTTGTGGCCACTTCCCAGCAGCTCTGGAGCAGGGGGGCTGGAGGCTTTGAGGCCAAGAAGCCAAAGCAAGACAAATGAAATGGGTTGAAAGAGGGGAAGAAGCAATGGCTAATACTTATGGAGCCCTGCTATGTGCAACGTGTTGACTCATTTAATCCTCACACAACTTCAGAAAGTAGGTACTGTTACTATTCCACCTTCCACATGGGCACACAAGGGACAGTTATACTCCATGGCTAAGATCACCCACTAGTAAGCAGTGGAGCCAGAATAACACAGAGATGTCTACTCCCGGGTCTGTGCCCTTTACTGTTGCATGCTACCACCAGCTCCACTGCTGAGATGGTCACTCTGACGGGCAAGGGTAGACAGTGGTACACTAGTGTTCCCAGGCCAAGCTTCCTCTCTCTACCCTTATCTCTCACTTTTGACAGAACCTTGTGATGTTCCTGAGCGTCCTCGTGGACTGGATGATCCCAGATATCCCCACGGACATCAGCGACCAGATCAAGAAAGAGAAGAGCTTGTTGGTGGACTTCTTCCTGAAGGAGGAGCATGAGAAGCTTAAGCTGATGGATGAGCCATCCCCCAGCAGCCAGGGAGGAGGCCATCAGAGCAGGAGGAGCCGGGCAGCCAGCTCAGCACCCTCTAGCCAGAGACAGCCAGGCAGCATCGCATCCTCTGGTTCTCAGCACACCAGCGTGTGAGCGAGCCAGCCCCACTGCCAAGGGGGTGCTGCGGCAGTGAGAGACCATTCACAAGCATGTCTGTGCTTCTGCACAGTGTGGTGTCTGTCATCTGCCGGGATATGGCATGAGGGGGTCTTGAAATGGGTGTGTGTGAAGAGAGAATGAGCTCAGAAAGGAAGAGAAATGATGCTGCTCCTTAGAAACTTCAAAATTAAGTTTATTTTACCTTAGTCTTTGTGGGATTGGTACCATTTGGAGTTTCTCTATCCCAGAATTCCCAGGCACTGAAACCAAGGGTACTTATGACTTGGATTAAATTAGCTTTAAGTCCTAGCTCTAGACATCATATCCTTCTTTCTATATATACATATCCCTCAGAGACTTAACCTTTCCCTCCATAATCAGCAGCCCCCAAGGCAGGAGAAGACAGTAGCTCAGACCTGACAAATGGTCACAGGATCTAGGTCTCTGTCAGGATAAAGATCACATCTTCACCTAAGTTAGGTTTCAGTTTCTGAGCCCTAAGTTGGAACAACCCCCTGGCTACTTTCCCATGAAACTGGACAGAGGGACACCAGAAAAGACCTCAGAACTGTCCTCAAGACCTGAAGAAATGATTCATTACACTCACCTCACCTCCAACCAATCAACTCCCCACACAACCCTGAACCCCTAACCCATAGTGTCTTCTGATTTTGCTCTATATAATCTGTAACCTATACTCTATTGGAGAGTTGTGTTTTTTTTTAGAGCTCTTTCATACACCTCCATTTGGCCAATTCAATATTAAACTATTTTTTTCTTTCTATACTGCAAACCCCTGTTCATGCATTTCATTGGACCAGTGTGTATAGGCGGGCAGATTCCAGGAAAAACATCAGGGTTCCAGTAACAGCACCATAAGCCTTCCCTATGTTTCCTCAGGTCCCCCCTCATTTCAGATGGCTGCAGGCCATGACAGAAGTGTAGTCAGGGCCCTGTTGTAGCATCCATCATAAGTGATCATCCCCCTGCTTCCCACCATCACCCTGAGAAAATTCTGAGTACTTACAGCCCAGGCTGTCATAGTCTTGGTGGATGCAAATTAAGTGACAGGGCTGATTATTACTGTGGCCACTGGACCTGATGGGGAGTTGCAAAGTTTCGAACCTGGGCTTGTCTTCAGTTCATGTCACAGGGGTGCTTTGAGCTGAATGTAACTAACCATCATTTTATGCAGATTCAGATTTAAAGTAAAATAAATGGAAACATTCTTTATAAAGATGTTTCTCATCTTTGGTTTTCTCTTCCCTCACCCCAACCAATATTTATTGAGCATCTACTATGTGCCAGACATTGTTCTCAGACTAGAGATATGTGAGACAAAAATCCCTGCCTCATGGAGTTTACATCATGGGGAGAGACAGACAATAAGCTGATACATATATAGTATTTTAGATAGTAATAAGTGCTATGGAGAAACAAAAGGAATAAGAGACAGGAATTGTGAGGACATAGAAGGTACAGGACTTATCATTTTCTATGCAAATTCATTTCAAACCCAAGATGATTGAAAGCTTACGTCTTGCAATGTTAACATCATCGAATGGTAGCAGCCTCCCAGATCTCTGTTGTGATATGATTTTCAAGTATAGTTGGAACCAAGGGCCAAACATCATTCATCACTGCCTTTCACACACCTCAACCCCACCTGCTTTCCAGAAATCAGCTGCACAGTCCTCTTCCTCTGGACCTGGCCCCATTTTGCAGGACAGTTTGGTGGAGTCTAACCCAATGCCTGAATGGAAGCTGCGAAGAGGCCATGCTCCAGAGGAGAAATGAGAGTTATGCTGATATTGGAATACATCCTGTGATGCAAGGGCCCATGGGTGCTTAGGCTGGTCATCGTGGCTGCTCCACATGCTTCTTGTTTCCTCCTATACAAGTGCAGGATCACACTGCTGCCAACCCTGGCTCTGGAAAGTGGGCCCTCCTTTTAAAAAGATACCAGGGCAGCCGGCTGGCGTGGCTCAGTATTTGAGCATTGACCTGTGAACCAGGAGGTCAAGGTTTGATTCCTGGTCAGGGCACATGCCCGGGTGGTAGGCTCAATCCCTAGTGTGGGGTGTGCAGGAGGCAGACAATCAATGATTCTCTCTCACATTGATGTGTCTATTCTCTTTCCCTCTTCCTCTCTGAAATAAATAAAACTATTTTAAAATAAAATAAAATAAAATAAAATGATACCAAGGCATATCTGCAGTTAGTAAAAGCAACAAACACTGATGTCCTAGGCCACTTATACATAAGAAATCCCATAATACATTTTAATTACATCACATCTTAATGTTCAAACTGGGGCTAGATTTAAACTACAGTAGTATGAAAACATTGCATCACCTCTGCTAATCTGGGGATAGTGAAGTGGCCAGCAGTAGGAACATTTCACTTCAAGGGGCATTAATGATGGGGAGGTTTCAGGCCCATATCCCTGTGACTCCTACCAGTATGGGTGGGGTTGATATTTCCAGGAACCAGCGATGGCCTACAGTCAGGAGGTGCACCACATGGGCACCCAGTTTGCAGTGACTGAACCACACCCAAGCCCATTGGTTGCCCATGGCTGGTTCAAGACCCCACTTTTTATCCCTCTTCTTTTTAAAATTTAACATTTTCATATGACCCTAGAAGTGAAACTTGCACACCATGAAAGAGACAATTTTAAAAACAATGAAGAATGCCCTAGTCAAGTAGCTCAGTTGGTTAGAGTGTCATCCTGATATATCAAGGTTGCAGGTTTGATCCCCGGTCAGGGCATACTAGTATACAGGATTCAACCAGTGAATGCACAAATAAGTAGAACAATAAATAAACGTTTCTCTCTCTTTCTCTTTCTCCCTCTCTCTCTAAAACCAAAAAATTAAAATAAAGAAATCAATAATACAAAATAATGAAGAAAGTAAAATCACCCAAAACCCCTAACTGTATAATCAACATTGACAATTGGTGTTTTTTTTCCAGACTTTCATGACCTCTCAAGCACATCTGTATTTTTCATTACAATTATGCAGTATATGCTATCTTATCTTTTTCCTCATCAATCCCTTTATCCCATAAACTTAAGTCTATCCACTCCAAAGTACATAATGAGCACCTACTGTGTGTCAGGCTCTGTAGTTAGGCACCTGGGTTACGTCACTCACTATGACAAAGATTCCTGCCCCCAGGGAGCTAATGCTCCTGTGGGTGAGTCAGAAAGCAATGATTAGACAAAATAGATGCTATTATATGTGACTGCACATACACCATAAGAACACAAAGTTAACAATAATAAGTAATAAAAATAAACTGTGTGGTATGTTAGAAGGTGGTAAGTGCTATGGAAAGAAAGTAGAGTGATGTAAAGGGGATTAGTAATGGGGAGGGTCTCCATTTTATTTCCATCATATAGATGGACCTTTTGCTTCCTTTTCACACTGCTCCATTCCATCCAGCTAATAGATTGCCAATTGGGTGTGGAAGCCTGTGGTAGCCATAGGTCACAACCTAAGGATCAGGTCAGCCACTAGGGGAGGTCTAGATGAGGGGAGATTTTATCTGACTATATTCTGGTTTCTACCCTCAAAAGACCCAGCTTTCCCTCCACTAAAGTGAGTTAGCAATTTTGTGATTTTCCCCCACCTCCAGGACCAAATCATTCAGGGGCATCCATGTCTCTAGCATGACCACTGGACATGCCTGCCTTAGACAAACAGGACCAGTAGGAATTTAGGTTCTGTAGGTAAACAACTTTGAAAGGACTTGTTAAGCTGGATAGGGAGATGGTAGGTATAGTTCTAATTTTAAAACAAAACAATAACACCCCCTTCTTTCTCTAAGCTCTTTAAGGAATTAATAGATTTTAAAATCCTATCTAATAATAGACAAATAGGGTAATTAACTGTACCTCCGACATACTTCCCATTGGCTAATCAGGGCGATATGCAAATTAACTGCCAACCAAATGGTGGCTGGCAGCCAGGCAGCTGAAGCGAACAGGAGGCTTGCTTGCTCCAGTGATGGAGGAAGCCAAGGTTCCCTGCCTGCCACAGCCCAGCTCTGAGCTGCACTCTAAGAAACAATGTTGCAATTATAGAAGCTAAACAAACTCCAGATCCCTGCTTTCAGCCAGCAAGGCCTCAGAGCTGGAGCTATAACAGTGTTTCAATTATAGAAGCCAAACAAACACAGATACCTGCTTTTAGCAGCCGAGGTCTCAGAGCTGGAGTTGAGCCTCAGAGCTAAAGCCGGCTCTCAGCTCCAGTGACAGCCATAGAAGGTAAAGAAATCCCAGAATAAAAAAGAAAAAAGAAAAAAAGAAGAGATTGGGAGCTTCAGTCGCCCACCAGCCTGAAAACGGCCCTCACCCCTCACCCAGACTAGCCAGGCACCCCAGTGGGGACCCCCACCCTGAAGGGGGTGCAACCAGCTGCAAACAGTCATTATTCCCTCATCCAGGCTGGCCTGGCACCCCAGTGGGGACCCCCACCCTGAAGGGGGTGTGACCAGCTGCAAACAGCCATCATCCCCTCATCCAGGCTGGCCAGGCACCCCAGTGGGGACCCCCACCCTGAAGGGGGTGTGACCAGCTGCAAACAGCCATCATACCCTCATCCAGGGCTGGCCAGGCACTCAAGTGGGACCCCCACCCTGATCCGGGACACCCTTCAGGGCAAATCAGCCAGCCCCCACCCGTGCACCAGGCCTCTATCCTATATAGTAAAAGGGTAATATGCAAACTGACCCTAACAGCAGAAAGACTGGGAATGACTGGTCACTATGACACACACTGACCACCAGGGGGCAGACGCTCAATGCAGGAGCTGCCCTCTGGTGGTCAGGGCGCTCTCACATGGGAGGAGCTCTGCTCAGCCACAAGCCAGGCGATGGCTGCTAGTACAGTGGTGGTGGTGGGAGCCTCTCCTGCCTCCTCAGCAGTGCTAAGGATGTCCGACTGCAGTTTAGACTTGCTCCCCACTGGCAAGTGGACATCCCCCAAGGGCTGCCGGTCTGCCAGAGGGATGTCTGATTGCCATCTTAGGCCCAATCCCCCGGGGAGCAGGCCTAAGCCAGCAAATGGTCATCCCCTGAGGGGTCCCAGACTGCGAGAGGGCACAGGACAGGCTGAGGGACTTCCCCTGAGTGCACAAATTTTTGTGCACCGGGCCTCTAGTTTAACTATAAAATACCAAAAAAAAAAAAAAAATGTCAGCAAACATCTGAAACACTGAAGAAGAAAAACATCACTCATCCTATTTCCTTTCTTCAGAAATATAATAGTTAATATTTTGATCTATTTTAACTTTATTTGTGTTCTTATGGTATATGTGCAGTCACATATAATAGCATCTATTTTGTTTAATCATAAAAGTAACATATACTCATAGAAGATTTAGAAAATGCAAAAAAGTAAAAAGGAAATGAAAAAGTTTAACTCGCCCAAATTTTCACCACTAAGAGAGGCTTTACAATCAGGCTTTTTTTTTTTCTGACTATATTATCTGACTATATTTCTATGGCTGCATTGAAATACAGGGTGGGGCAAAAGGAGATTTCCATATAGTTGTTGGTATGGAAAAGAATACAATAATTAATAAATAATAATACAAGAATAAACTCCTTGTTTTGCATACTCACAATTGTAAACCTACTTTTGCACCATTCTGTATATAACCAAACAGTGTTGGTGTTAAAAATGAATTCAAAGTCTCCTGCCTTTTTATATTGTCACTAGAGGCCCAGTGCATGAATTCATGCATGGGTGGGGTCTGGCAGGTCCGGCCCCAATCATTGGATCGGGGCTGGGCCTGTGGAGAGGAGGAGATGGCGGGAAGTTGGCTGGCTGGCCCACCCTGATTGGGCCCGATCAGGGCCGGGCCGGCTGAGGGGAGGGGCTGTGGATGATTGGCCAGCGCCCCCCCCCCAAATAGGGGGGGGGGGGGGCCGATCGGGGGCCAGTAGCCTGGGGGAGGGGCCATGGGTGGTTGGCTGGCCGGCCCTGCCCCTGATCAGAGTGAGGAGGCCCATTGGCGGTGGGGTCAGCCAGGGGGAGGGGTCACAGGTCCCTATTTGGGTGGGGGCGATCAGGGGCGGGGCTGGCTGGGGGGAGGGGCTGCGGGTTGATCAGGGTGAGGGGGGCTGATCAGGGACGGGTCTGGCTGTGGGGAAGGGCTGTG